TCAAAAAGACAAAAAGGCAGTCCACAGAATGGGAAAAGATATTCACTAACTCCACATCTGACAGAGGGCTAATCTCCAAAATTTACAAAGAAATCAAGAAACAAGTCTCCAAAACACCAAAGGATCCAATTAAAAGGTGGGGTACAGATCTAAATAGAGAATTCTCAACAGAGGAGGCTAAAATGGCCAAGAGACACTTAAGAAAGTGCTCAACATCCTTAGCCATCAGGGAATAGCAAATCAAAACAACTCTGAGATACCATCTTACTCCTGTCAGAATGGCTAAAATCAAAAACACCAATGACAATTTAAGCTGGAGAGAATGTGGAGAGAGGGGAACTCTACTCCATTGCTGGTTGGAGTGCCAACTTGTACAGCCTCTTTGGAAATCAGTATGGAGATTCCTCAGGAAAATGGGAATTAATCTACCGCAAGACCCAGCAATTGCACTTTGGGCATATATCCAAATGAGGCAAATTCATACAACAAGGGCATCTGCTCTACTATGTCCATAGCAGCATTATTTGTAATAGCCAGAACCTGGAAGCAACCTAGATGCCCCTCAACTGAAGAGTGGGTGGAGAAAATGTGGTACATTTACACAATGGAGTATTACTCAGCAGAAAAAAACAATGGAATCTTGAAATTCGCAGGTAAATGGATAGCACTGGAAGAAACCATCCTGAGTGAGGTAACCCAGTCGCAAAAAGACAAACATGGTATGTACTCACTCATATATGGATGTTAGACATGGATCAGGATAGTGCTAGTCTGCACTTCCACTGATAGAGAGTCTGGGAAACAGGAAAGAACCTAAAAGGTACACATATATGCATAGTACCCAAGAGAAGAGGATTGAGACAAGATCCTCTGAATGGATGGGGAACACGGTGAGGGGTGGGGGGGAGTGGGAGCTGGGAAGAAGAGAGGGTGAGAAGAGAAAGAGAGAGTAGGTCATGGGGGTACAGGAAATCGAGTGGGTGGGGGTAGAACAGGGGGAAGAGGGAATCATAGGTTAGAAGACAGATCAGGCACCAGAGTGACCTCTAGTGATCTAAAGGGATAACACCAATTGGCAAGCTAAGCAATAGTGGAGAGACCACCTCGAATGCCCATTCCTGATAATGAACTTGATGTTTATAACTATCTGGGAGCCTTCATCCAGTGACTGATGGAAGCAGAGGCAAACACACAATTAATCACTGAACTGAATCCAAGGAAGCCAGTGGCAGAGAGAAGGAGTGATGAACAAATTGGCAAAGAATGGGCTGGCAAAACCAGCAGAGACAGCTGATCTTAACAGGGGAGAGCTCTTGGACCCCAGACTGACAGCGTGGAGGCTAACATGGGACTGATCTGGACCCTCCCCAAATGTGAGTGTCAGTGAGAAGGCCTGGGCAACCTATGGGGCCTTGAGCAGTGGATCCGTGTCTATCCCTGGAACACAAACAGTCATCATGTGCTCATAGCATAAAGAGGGATGCTCTCTCAGCCTGGACTCTTAGGGGAATGCCTGGAAGCTGCCCAGAGTGAAATGACAGACTCTAGATATCCCCTATGTGGAAGGATTTGGCAATAGGATGGGAGGGTGGGGGGGGAGGGCAGTGCGGGAGGAGGGGAGGGAGAGGGAACTGGGATTGATATGTAAAACAAGCTATTTAAAATTAAAATAAAAAATGATATTAAAAAAAGGAGTGGGAGTGTCTTTTTCCCTAAACACCCTTAAATAGAATGAAGAATACAGAAAAATAATAAAGGAAATCATAAGATACTGTGTGAGTGGCTTTTCCTGTACACCCTCAGACTCAGATAAAAAGTTGCAGTTATCACCAACTTCATGGATTCCTTTTGAGACCTGAATTATGGGCTCAATACATATTCTGGTCAGTCTCTGGAAGGGCAGTAGAAACCCTGTTTGGCACCCTTCTACTTAGCATAGATAATGAAAAGCTAACATGTATAAGAACGCTAGAGTATCTGTCATTTGTATCATAGTTTGCACCTTTTTAAAGACCTCCTGGTATTAAGTCTATGAAACAATTTACAAGAATAACATAAACATGTATTAGAAGCAGTATTTCTATGACAGTGAATTAAAATTTATAAAATTATGCTGGTGAGATTTCAGGGATCTAGCTTCTGACATTACTAAGAGACACAATCTCCCAGCAAAGCCCTTGATCCTCTGAGTCTTACAACATTTCCTCCTGCTTTTCACAATGTTCCCTGAGACTTAGGTGTGGATATGCTTTGTAGATATTTTTATTATTACTGGGCTCCACAACTCTGTATTACAAGTGGTTGTGGCTTTAATCTATAAAGTTTCCATATGTTGCAGATCAATTTTCCTGCTGAGTGGTCGGGACTACAGATATATTTGTTATGAGATCAAATTATTTACAGTTCATTAGATGATTGTGCTCATTTAGTAACATACAATATTTAAATTTTTCAAGATTCATAACTTTACTATGTCTTGAAAGTTAGTGAGGCCTCTGGTACCAGTCATGATTTCCCTCTTGTTGAGTAGGTCTTTAAGTCCAATTAGATACCTGCTGGTTACCATTTAGTTATCCATAGCATTCTTGACCACATAGGGTTGTCATAGAATGGTGGACTTTGGTCTTCATAGGTGTCATAGCTGGGTAAAGCTGTTGCTGGCTTCTCTCCTTTGGACATTTGCATGATACATTTTGGTTATCATTAATTATTTTCCTCATGGAGGACACATTCAAGTCAAACCCAGAACAGGAGCTATAATACTTGTATCTGAAGTATATGGTGTATGAAGTGCAATATCACCTATGTAATTTTAGTGCAACATCAGGCAAATAAGTTTGTAAAGTAGGCATAGAAAACACACAATAACTGATAACAAATTATGAAGAAATTTGTTTTTAAAACATTTTGTTATTTTATTTTATTTTTATTTTATATTATTTTAATTTTAATTAGCTTGTTTTACATGTCAATCCCAGTTCCCTCTCCCTCCCCTCCCCACGCACCCCCTCACCAGCCCCCAGCCTCCCACCCTATTGCCAATTCCTTCCACATAGGGGATATCTAGAGTTTGTCATTTCACTCAGGGCAGGGTCCAGGCACTCCTCTAAGAGTTCAGGCTGAGAGAGCATCCCTCTTTGTGCTATGGACACACGATGTCTGTTTGTATTCCAGGGATAAACACTGATCCACTGCTCAGGGCCCCATAGGTTGCCCAGGCCTCCTCACTGACACTCGAATTCGGGGGTCCAGATCCGTCCCATTTACCAATGATGAAAACAAATCAACATGCTAGTTACATGGGTGTGCTTGCTTATTTTTATAAAAGAAATTGATCTTGTCTGAATATCCTATTTCATAATATGTAGCATTACCTCAACATATTTCAGAGTTGGTAGATACTGTTATTTTATATTTATCAATGCTGAGAATTCCATTCACATGAATATACCAGAAAAAGTGGCAGAAGTGTGCTTAGTGGGATTTCAGAAAATTTTGGAAATTGTTTCCTAATCCCAACATATACCATTAACAAATTTTTACATAAGTTAAATCCGAAATTCAATCATAAGCATTATTTTTCATTTAAATTAGAAACAAGCTTGCTTCAAATGTCAATCCTAGCTCCCTCTCCGTCCCCTCCTCCCCATTCCCTCCCACCAGAACCTCCAGCCACCCACTCAGATCCCCAGGGAAGGTGAAGCCCTCCATGGGGGATCTCCAGAGTCTGTCATTTCATTCAGGGCAGGGCCTAGGTCCTCTCCTAAGAGTCTGAAAGACCCCGGCCCAGCACAGGTGGCTGAGGCCTATGGAAAATTCCTTTCCCCCACAGCTCAGCCGAATAGTCATTTTTTGATCAGAAGGGAGCTCAGCTCAAGGTCTTTACAGCTGAATAGTCACTACTATCTCTGTCCAGGCAGGACACAGGTGTCTGCTATCTGCATAGCGTCTGCATAGCCAGCCCAGCAAGATTGGGCAGGCACAGAGACCTATTGTTCCTCAGATAGGGCCAAGGCCGAGACTTGAGTTCTGAAAGAAACCTCAATAGCCCTCATTCTAAGCCCCGGCCTCATTCATATTGCCCAATCAGGGTCCTGTAACTAGGCTTCTTGCTTCTGTACTCCGCTTTTTGCTATAAAAGGACCCCTGAGTCCCCAGCTCGGGGCGCTCAGCCCCCCAAGACTGAGACACCCGGGTACCCGTGTGTAAATAAAGCCTCTTGCTGTTGCATCCAAGTTTGTGGTCTCGCTGTTCCTTGGGTTCGGGTCTCCCTCCCGAGAAAGTCCCCCGCCTGGGGTCTTTCATTTGGTGCGTTGGCCGGGAAATTGAGACCCCGCCCAGGGACCACCGACCCACTTCTGGGAGGTAAGAATTGTCCGGACTAAATTTCTGTTGTTTCTGTTGTCTGCTCTCTGTCTATGCCTGTTATTTTCTCGCGCCTGCATTTGTAGTATACAGCTGTATACATTTGTATTTGGCGGCCACCGAGGAGGAACTGACGGGTTCGTACTCCCGACCGCAGCTCCAGGAGACGTCCTGGTAGCATTTGGAGTACTCATTTGTTTGGGGTGGATGTCAATCTGCCCCGTTTGTATTTGGAGTACTCATTTGTTTGGGGTGGATGTCAATCTGCCCCGTTTGTATTTGAAGTTCTTAAGGAACCGTTTGTTTGGGGTAGATGCCTAGGAATCTGCCACGTCTGTTTGGGGAACCCCCGCTGACAGAGGGATTTTCCATCCTGGTAGGGGACGAGGACGGAGGGCCCCCGACCTCGAGCCCAACTGAAGTTTTGCTTTCGACTCTACGTCGAAGCCGCGCAGCGAAAATCTGTTTGTTTTTGTTTCTTGCTTGTTTGTTTGTCTTAGTCATCACTCTCGAGAAGATGGGCCAGACAGTTACCACTCCGCTCAGTTTGACCCTTTCACATTGGCCACAGGTTCAGGAGTATGCTCGTAACCGGACTGTCGATGTGCGCAAGAAGGAATGGATCACCTTTTGCTCTTCCGAGTGGCCAGCTTTAAATGTTGGCTGGCCCCGGGATGGCACCTTTAACTCTCAAATTATCTTCCAGGTGAAAGAGAAAGTGATGGATCCTGGGCCCCACGGCCGCCCGGACCAAGTGCCCTACATAGTCACCTGGGAAGCGTTAGTTCATAACCCTCCTACCTGGGTGCGTCCCTTTGTGCAACCCGGAGGGTCCCCCTCTCCCTCTTCCCTAACCCCCACCAAATCCAACCCATCCGCACCCCCCCTTCCGCCCCCTTTGACCCCCTCCCCGTATCCTCAGTCCTCCCATTCTGGCCTGTACCCCACCGTAACTAAGCAGAAAGAGAAAAAAAGAGACCCCAAAGTCCTCCCTCCAGAAGACGGTCTCCTGTTGGATCTACTAACGGAGGAACCCCCACCGTACCAGGCTCCTCCGGCAGGTCAACCGGCAGCAGCTGAGGCCCAACCTTCGCCTCCCACTGACCCGGAGCCCTCACCTATGGCCTCTAGACTGCGAGGCCGCAGGGAGCAACCCGCTCCGGATTCCACTGCCCTGCCCCTCCGGACGGGCCATGATGGCCAATTACAGTATTGGCCGTTTTCTGCCTCTGATCTTTATAACTGGAAAAATAATAACCCCTCCTTTTCAGCAGATCCTGTGAGACTGACTGATTTATTGGAGTCGGTACTTACTACCCACCAGCCCACCTGGGACGATTGCCAACAGCTTTTACAGGTCCTCCTCACTTCGGAGGAAAAACAACGGGTCCTTCTTGAAGCCCGGAAGAATGTTCCTGGGGCAAATGGACAACCTACGCAGCTCCCAAATGAAATTGATGCTGCTTTTCCCCTCGACCGCCCAGACTGGGACTTCACCACTGAGGCAGGTAGGACCCATCTACGTCTTTATCGCCAGTTGCTTGTAGCGGGTCTCCGAGGGGCAGGTAAACGTCCTACCAATTTGGCCCAGGTAAGACAGATTGTTCAGAAGGCAGAGGAATCCCCAGCTGCATTTTTAGAGAGGCTTAAGGAAGCTTACAGAATGTATACTCCATATGACCCTGAGGACCCCGGGCAAGCTACTAGCCTGACCATGTCCTTCATTTGGCAGTCGGCTGCTGACATTAGAAACAAATTGCAGCGGCTGGAGAATTTACAGGGTTATACACTACCAGATGTATTAAAGGAGGCGGAGCGCATCTTTAACAAGAGAGAAACACGGGAGGAAAGGGAAGAGAGATGGAGAAAGGAGGACCAAGAAAGGGTAGATCGTCAGAGACAGGAAATGGAAGAGAAGGACAGAGAGAGGGATAAGAAGCGTAATAGAGAAATGACTAAACTGTTGGCCACAGTAGTAGCAGAGCAGAGACAGGACAGGCAGAGAGAGGGACAAAGAGGGCCTCGCCTAGAAAGAGACCGATGTGCATATTGCAAGGAGAGAGGACACTGGGCTAGAGAATGCCCCAAGAACAAGAAACAGAGAAGGGCATTTCAAAGGCCCAAACCTTGTTCTCAGACCTCTGACCTCCTGAGTCTCGAAGATTAGGGAGGTCAGGGCCAGGAGCCCCCCCCTGAGCCCCGGATAACCATACCAGTAGGGGGGCGCCCGGTCACCTTCCTGGTCGACACGGGGGCTCAACACTCTGTTCTAAATCGGTCACCCGGCCCCCTGAGCCGCCGAACTGCCTGGGTACAAGGAGCCACTGGCGGGAAACAATATCGATGGACCACGGACCGCCAGCTCCACCTAGCGACCGGTAAGGTGATGCACTCCTTTTTACATGTTCCTGACTGTCCATACCCCCTCCTGGGTCGAGACCTCCTAACGAAGTTAAAGGCTCAAGTACATTTCGAGAAAGCCAACATAAGAGTCACGGGGCCAGAAGGGGCCCCACTCACGGTGCTGACCATAGCCTTAGAAGAGGAATATAGAATACATGAGCCCAAGGATGACTCTGTTAAGGTCGAGGACCGCTGGCTGACCGACTTTCCCCAGTCCTGGGCAGAGACCGGAGGCATGGGACTAGCCCTCCAGCAGGCTCCCATCATAGTCCATTTAAAGGCATCTGCTCTCCCGGCCTCAATTAAACAATATCCCATGTCCCGGGAGGCCCGCGATGGGATCAAACCTCACATTAGGAGGCTACTGGAGCAGGGCATTCTAACCCCTGCCGGTCCCCCTGGAACACTCCCCTGTTGCCAGTCAAAAAGCCCGGAACCAATGACTATAGGCCGGTCCAGGACCTCCGGGAAGTCAATAAGCGGGTTGAGGACATACACCCCACGGTCCCCAATCCCTATAACCTCCTGAGTGGACTGCCACCTGACTATGTTTGGTACTCAGTCCTGGATTTAAAGGATGCCTTCTTCTGCCTGCGGTTACACAAAGACAGTCAGCAACTGTTTGCCTTTGAATGGCAGGATGCAGACCTGGGAATCTCGGGACAACTTACATGGACTAGGTTGCCCCAAGGGTTCAAAAATAGCCCCACCCTCTTTGATGAGGCCTTGCATCAGGATTTGGCCGGATTTAGAGTCCACCACCCTGAGGTCATCCTCTTACAATATGTGGATGACATCCTGATAGCCACTAAAACAGAGGAGGAATGCCTTAGGGGGACAGAAGCTCTCTTAAAGACTTTAGGAGACTTGGGGTACAGGGCCTCTGCCAAGAAGGCCCAAATCTGCCGGACCCAGGTCACCTACTTGGGGTACAAAATCCAGGATGGAAAACGTTGGCTAACAGAAGCCCGCAAACAGGCCATACTTGATATCCCTCCTCCCAAGACCCCCGAAAACTGCGGGAATTCTTGGGAACAGCAGGTTTCTGTAGACTGTGGATCCCCGGGTTTGCGGAAATGGCAGCACCCCTGTACCCCCTCACCAAGACGGGGGCTGCTTTTGATTGGGGGGAGAGCCAGGAAAAAGCCTTCATGGACATCAAGAAGGCTCTGCTCTGCTCCCCAGCTCTGGGGTTACCTGACCTGACTAAACCCTTTGACTTATTCGTGGCTGAGCAAGAGGGTTATGCGAAGGGGGTCCTAACTCAAAAACTTGGGCCCTGGAGACGACCGGTTGCCTACCTATCTAAGAGATTAGACCCCGTAGCGTCTGGATGGCCCCCATGTCTCTGCATGATCGCCGCCACCACAGTTCTCATAAAGGACTCTCACAAATTGACTTTGGGGCAGCCTTTGACTATCTATGCCCCCCATGCTATGGAGGCGGTCATCAGACAGCCACCAGGCCGCTGGCTCACCAATGCCAGGATGACTCATTACCAGACTCTGTTGCTGGACAAGGACCGAATTCACTTCGGGGCTCCGGTGACCCTGAACCCCGCCTCGCTACTTCCCCTCCCCGGGGAAGCAGAGACTCATGACTGCTTGCAGGTCCTGGCTGAGGTCCATGGGACGAGAGCTGACCTCACGGATCAACCCCTTCCCAACCCTGACCTTGTCTGGTTCACGGACGGAAGCAGCTTTGTACATCAAGGGGAGCGGAAAGTCGGTGCTGCAGTGACAACTGAGTCAGAAACAATTTGGGCCGAGGCCCTGCCACCAGGAACATCGGCCCAACGAGCAGAACTGATTGCCTTAACACAGGCCCTGAGACTGGCAGAAGGTAAGAAACTCACTGTCTATACAGACAGCCGCTATGCTTTTGCCACCGCTCACATCCATGGTGAAATTTATAGGCGAAGGGGGCTATTGACCTCAGAGGGCAGAGACATTAAAAATAAAAAGGAAATCCTGGCCCTCTTAGAGAATCTGCACCTGCCAACCGCCCTCAGTATCATACATTGCCCAGGGCACCAGAAAGGCGACAGCTCAGTCGCCCGGGGAAACCGGAGGGCAGACCTGGCCGCCCGGGAGGCTGCCCTGGCCATGGAAAGCAGCAGCCACCTCCTCCAGGCAGCTGTAGTCCCTGTAATTAATGAGGCTTCCGAGAAGACCTCCCCGTCATGGGACTATGAGATAAAAGACATCAAAGCCATGAAAAGACTGGGGGCGACCCGAGTACATGATGGTCTCTGGACCTATCAAGGAAAAACTGTCCTTCCCCGCCTAATGACTAGATATCTGGTTAACAGCCTACACAAACTCACTCATTTGAGCTCCAGGAAAATGCGAGAACTATTAGCCCGGGAAGAAAATACTCGCCACCTGTTGGGAATAGAAGAAATAATAAAACAAGTGACTGAGCAATGTGACGCCTGCGCCCGCGTCAATATGACCCAATATGACCGCGTCAATATGGGGACTCGAGCTCGTGGGCACCGGCCTGGGGTGCATTGGGAAATAGATTTCACAGAAATTAAACCAGGAAAATATGGATACAAGTACCTCCTGGTTTTTGTTGACACCTTCTCGGGATGGACTGAAGCCTACCACACCAAGCACGAGACGGCAAAGGTGGTCACCAAGAAACTTCTTGAAGAAATCTTCCCCCGTTACGGAATGCCACAGGTATTGGGGACAGACAACGGGCCTGCCTTTGTTTCTCAGGTAAGTCAGTCTGTGGCCACCTTGTTGGGGATTGATTGGAAATTACATTGTGCTTATCGACCCCAAAGTTCAGGGCAGGTAGAGCGAATGAATAGAACCATTAAGGAGACTATAACTAAATTATCGCTGGCAGCTGGCACTAAAGACTGGGTCCTCTTGCCCCCCTTGCCCTCTATCGTGCCCGGAATACACCGGGCCCCCATGGCCTCACCCCTTTTGAAATTCTGTATGGAACCACCGTTCCCTTTGTTCAGTTCTTTGACCAAGATATTTCTGACTATGCCAATTCCTCCTCTCTTCAAGCTCACCTGCAGGCACTCCAGCTGGTTCAGCAGGAAGTCTGGAAGCCTCTGGCCCAAGCCTACCGAGACCAGAGGAGACACCCTATCGTCCCTCACTCCTACCACGTGGGAGACAGCGTTTGGGTCCGGCGCCACCAGGCTAAGAACCTTGAACCCCGCTGGAAGGGACCATACACGGTCCTGTTGACCACCCCTACTGCTCTCAAGGTGGACGGGATTGCTGCTTGGATACACGCCTCGCACGTAAAAGCTGCCTTCCCTGAGGATCCGGACTCAGGATGGAAAGCTCAACGCACTCAAAATCCTTTAAAAATAAAACTTACCCGCTCCTCTCCCTCCTGCTAATAGCCCTCCTCATAAAATCAGACACTGGTGTGGCCTCCAGTCCCCATACCATTTATAAATTAACCTGGGAGGTTCTCTCCCAGATGGGGGAGGTCATTTATGCTGTCACGGAACCACATGCACTTGGGACATGGTGGCCTACTCTATGGCCTGAATTTTGTGATTTAGTAGCAGGGTTGGACACTTGGGACATTTCCCATTGCCACCCAAAGGCATGCGCCAGTGGTTCCCACCTTTACAGACGTCGACGTACATTCATATTCATGGACTCTAGAGAAACCACCCCCGGGTGTGTTAGTCGCAGAGCCAGAGAGCAGCTACATTCACAGGACTTCTATGTCTGCCCCCAAGATGGACGTACCTGGCAACAGGCCCGGAAATGTGGGGGACATGATTCCTTTTTCTGTGCAGCTTGGGGGTGCGAGACTACAGGGGATGCGTATTGGAGGCCATCCTCATCCTGGGATAAAATACAAGTACGCAGAGGCTGGGACAAAAGACAATCTGGAATGATAGGTATGCCCCTTGCCATTTCCTTCACTGCGCAGGGAAAGCAAGCCCCGGACTGGCAGACTGGGTATACCTGGGGTTTGCGTTGGTATCTATACGGGCCAGACAGGGGAGTAATCTTTACAATCAGATGTAAGGTGGCTCCGGTTAATCCACAGGCCATAGGCCCTAACCAGGTCCTTGCTGATCAAAAGCAGCCTAGCCTATTCATGCCCAAGGCTGATACCAGGCTCCTGACCCTGCCTAAAACCACAGCCGCTCCCGCGCCTACAGAAAGCACTCCCAAACCCCCCTCCTCGGGTCCCCCCCTTGAAGGCACGGGAGATAGAATATTAGCCCTGATCAAAGGGACATATGCCACTCTGAATTTAACTCGCCCAGATAAGACTAAGGAATGCTGGCTTTGTCTGACTCCGCAACCTCCCTATTATGAAGGCTTAGCGGTTGTGGGCGAATATACAAATCAGGCCACAGCCGTGGCTCTTTGTGGGACAGCCATGCAACATAAATTGACCATCTCAGAAGTGTCTGGAAAGGGGCTATGTATAGGTAACGTCCCCGCCACGCATCAAGGACTATGCAATGCCACTGAGCCTTTGCCCCAAAGTGGCCGCTACTTGATAGCCCCCAATGGGACATATTGGGCATGCAACACTGGATTAACCCCTTGTGTCTCCACCACGGTACTAGATGCCACCGTTGACTATTGTGTTCTGATTGAATTATGGCCTAAGGTAATTTACCACCCCTCTGACTATGACTTGATAAGAACTGGCCGCAGTGAGAGGGAACCTATCTCCATCACTACTGCCATCCTACTAGGGGGATTAACCATGGGAGGCATAGCAGCAGGAATAGGAACCGGTACTGCCGCACTGCAGGAAACTAAACAGTTCCAACTCCTACAACAAGTAATGCGTGCAGATATTCGGTCTTTAGAGGAATCTGTCGCTGCCCTGGAGAAGTCTCTGTCCTCCCTGGCAGAAGTAGCCCTCCAAAACAGAAGGGGACTAGACCTCTTATTTTTACAGCAGGGGGGAATTTGTGCGGCCCTTAAAGAAGAATGCTGCTTTTACGCAGACCATACCGGAGTGGTAAGAGACAACCTGGCTAAAATAAAAGAAAGACGCCAAAAGTACCACCAATTAATTGAGTCCCAACAGGGATGGTTTCAGAACTGGTATAACAGGTCCCCTTGGTATTCGACTCTCATATCCACCATTATGGGACCCCTGATCATTATATTTCTGATTCTGATGTTTGGGCCATGCATCTTAAACAGATTGATCCAGTTTATAAAGGAAAGGTTATCAGTTGTACAATCACTGGTTTTGACTCAACAATACCAGCAGCTAAAGCAAAGGGATTTCGAGATGGCAGAAACCTCTGAATGAAAGATTTCATTCAGTTACAAGAGCAATGGGGGAATGAAAGACCCCGGCCCAGCACAGGCGGCTGAGGCCTATGGAAAATTCCTTTCCCCCACAGCTCAGCCGAATAGTCATTTTTTTGATCAGAAGAGAGCTCAGCTCAAGGTCTTTACAGCTGAATAGTCACTACTATCTCTGTCCAGGCAGGACACAGGTGTCTGCTATCTGCATAGCGTCTGCATAGCCAGCCCAGCAAGATTGGGCAGGCACAGAGACCTATTGTTCCTCAGATAGGGCCAAGGCCGAGACTTGAGTTCTGAAAGAAACCTCAATAGCCCTCATTCTAAGCCCCGGCCTCATTCATATTGCCCAATCAGGGTCCTGTAACTAGGCTTCTTGCTTCTGTACTCCGCTTTTTGCTATAAAAGGACCCCTGAGTCCCCAGCTCGGGGCGCTCAGCCCCCCAAGACTGAGACGCCCAGGTACCCGTGTGTAAATAAAGCCTCTTGCTGTTGCATCCAAGTTTGTGGTCTCGCTGTTCCTTGGGTTCGGGTCTCCCTCCCGTGAAAGTCCCCCGTTTGGGGTCTTTCAAGTCCAGGCTGAGAGAACATCCCTCATAGTAGAATGGGCACCCAAACTCCATTTGTATGCCAGGGATAAACCCTGATCTACTACCCAAGGCCCCATAGATTGCCGAGGCTTTCTCACTAACACCCACATTCAGGGGATCTGGATAAGTCCTATTCTGGTCTCCCAGCCATCAGTCTGGGACCCAAGAGCTCCCCCTTGCTCAGGTCAGCTGTTTCCGTGTGTTCAATAAGAGCAGCCTTGACACCTTTGCTCTTCAGTCCTCCCTGTCTGTAACTGGATTTCTGAAGTTCAGTTCAATGGTGAATTGTGGGAGTCTGCCTCTGCTTCCTGCAGTCACTGGATTAAGGTTCTGTATTGTGTGTGTGTGTGTGTGTGTGTGTGTGTGTGTGTGTGTGTGAGAGAGAGAGAGAGAGAGAGAGAGAGAGAGAGAGAGAGAGAGAGAGAGAGAGAGAGATTAAATTTGATTTATAGAAACTAAATTTTTCTGGGTTTGAACTTTGGGGAGCTGTCTCAAGGGGTTTCAAAGAAGAAATTTAGTATGTTTCCTACAGATTATTCTTGTGAAATTTTGGTGAAGAATGTGGTTGCTTTTTGCCTTTGTCCGGAAAAGTCTGCCTAAAACTATAGTGATAGATTTGGATTAAATCCATTGAGAGAGGAAATGTAAAAATCAGCACTGTTTAGACATTGCCATGTGCATATTAATGGTAACTCTAATGAAGTTATATAATGAAAAGGCACAAGCTGAGCAAGAAAAAATATACAATGTATACTAATGTGAGGAGCAACAGGAAGTGAAATGGAGTGAAGTCCTGTGTTCAAGGAGATAAATAAAGAAATTGCATAAAAGGAGTGGTGTCCTCAGGGCAATATTTTACCCTGCTAAGTTTCCAACTTGTGAAAGGAATTAAAGAAACGCTTAGAGCCAGGTGTGGTGGTAAACGCCTTAAATCCCAGCATGAGAAACCAACGGTTTGCAGATTTCTGAGTTTGAGGCCTGTATGATCTACAGAGCAAGTTCCAGGACAGCCAAGGTTAGGTAGTAAAGAACCATGGAAACAAATGCTAGTGAAGATGCAATGCAATGTGGGGGTCTCATATTCCAGCCCTGAAAATCAGCAGAATCTGGCAGTTTTGTCCATGTGGTTCTGGCTTTAAAGTCAAGGATAGAAGAATGGGGTTATAGAATATCCTGAGACTAACAAAAGCTGCTGAGTCCAACCATGTGTCAGGGGTATCCCTGCATGAAACTGTAAAGTTGAAGCCTGGAATTTCTTAGAAACCCCAAGATGTTATAGATGCTTTAACCATGGGGTATAATGTAAGGGCCCATAGAAATGGCTCCACTTCATCCTGACTCAAGGACAAGCCTCTTTACATGCTCCAACAGTTCATAGATGGAGTGGGCAAACTCAAAGCCCTGGTTCAGAGCCTGTGTGGCAGCTGGGTTTGTCATCCCACCTGCTCCCCCTTATCCTCACCATCAGGATGAGCTTTTCTCCAGCATGTCCTTCCAAGCTCAACCAAATGCAGCAGACAGCAAGGGGTAGAGCTATTTCTCCAGATCTCATGCTTTCAGTGGGGGCTCACCACTGCCCACACCACCAGGGCCAGTCTACTATGTTGTTGTCAAGTGCAGTGCCCATTCTCCTAAGGGTTACAGTTGGTGAGGGACAGTATCAGCTCTCTTGCTCTCATGCTCCTGAGGCTATCTCTCCTCTCTGATGCAGGTGGTGAGAGGTGAGGCAGGGGCAGCCACCTTACACAGGTCTACTCAAATCCAGAGCTTCATGAATGCTATGTAAGTGTTCTATCAACTGAGCTACATTCCCATCCCCATTTATTTATTCTCAATCATTTTGCTTCCATCATCTACAGGGTGAAGGGTCTAGGATGGAATATAAAGTAGTTATCAATCTCATTAATGGGAAAAAGCATCTAAGGTAGCCTCTCCTCTATTGCTTGGACTTTTCCCCTTAAATTAGAAGCAAGATTGTTTAACATATCAGTCCCAGTTCCCTTTCCTTCCCCTCCTCCCCTGCTTCCCACCAATCCCTTATCCAATGCCCTTTCTGCCCACAGGGAACATGAGGCCTTCCATGGTGGATGCTTCAGTGTCTGTCATATCATTTGGAGCAGGGCCTTGGCCCTCCCCACATGTGTCTAGACTGAGATAGCTGACCTCTAAATGGCATGGGCTCCCAAAGTTCTTTCATATAGTAGGGATAAATACTGATCCACTGCCAGAGGCCTCATAGATTGCCCAGGCTTCCTAACTGACACCCACATTCAGGTGTTCTGGATCAGTCCTATGTTGTTTTCTCAGCTATCAGTCTGGGTTTCATGAAGTCCCGCTGGTTCATGTCAGCTGTTTCTGTGGTTTTCTCCAGTCTGGTCTTGATCTCTTTGCTCATCATTCCTCCCTTTCTGCACTTAGATTCCAGGAATTCAGCTCAGTGTTTAGCTGTGGGTGTCTGCTTCTGCTCTCATCAGGTACTGGATGAAGGTTCTAGGATGGCATATGAAGTATTCATCAATCTCATTATCGCAGAAGAATATTAAGGTACCTCTCCATCATTGCTTAGATTCATCCTTGTGAATCCATGGATATAGTTTTACTGTCAGATTTCTCTTTATGGTATCCCTCTATTAAGGTATCTCTTTTCTTGCTCTTTTTCTGTATTTTTCCCTCACCTCAATCTTCTTGATCCCTTTTGTTCTCCTCCACCCCCTTCCTCCTACCTCTGTCCCAAGTGCTTCCAAATTGATCAAGAGGTCTTTTCCCTTTCCCCTTCTCCAGACATTGATGTATGTCCCTCTTAGGGTCCTCCTTGCTTTCTAGCTTCTCTGGAATTGTAGGCTGGTTATTCTTTGCTGTGTGTCTAATATTCTCTTTTGAGTGTAGCTCTCAAGTTTGATTGGGAGACATAGAGGTGTGAATTAGTATCCAAAATAAATTCTAAAAGAAATGGAAAATAACCACTCTCCTTGATGATAACATGACAATGTAAACTTTGAGAATTTTCTCCAGAGAAGTAAACATCTCTGTTGGGTAACTGAAACATCTGGGGCATTCCTCCAGAAGTGTAAGCAGCAAAATGAAGTGCAGTTTATATTGTCCTCAGTTCATTCCTGGACTGATGGAAAACTTCCAGAATTCCTCTGTTGATCATTGAACATGGCCATGAACACAGAGCAGACAGACCATGACCTTCTTCAATGTTAATATTTCTATCTGTGCATTTGTAGAGTTCAGTTCAATTGTGTGGTTTGGGAACACATGCAGTTGACAGTGATAGAAACAGGAACACTGAAGAAGGGAAATAATCAGTGTTCAGGAACAGGAAATTAAATTGTTAACATCATATAAATGAAAACATGCTAATGGAGCTCTATGCAATGGGAGACAGAAGTGTTTGTACATACATACATTTGAGATGGTTTCTAACTGTGTTCCTGTGTAGCATATAGTGTTTAGCATGGTTTGGTGCAAGCTCCTGTTTATCCTGCCTTAGCCTCTAAAAGGCTCAGGTTGTGTCCCTGGTCAGCAATCTGAGCAGAGATGTGACTCTTGAAACCTCAATATGTTGCAGGTTAAGAATAATAATGGTATTGGAGAAATATATTAGGAAAAGTGATAGGAATGCCACCCAAATGGTTCTTATACCAACTCTCACCATCAGAAGTCATCCTGCCAGTAAAACCCAATGAAACTGGAAGTGATTGTAACTTACAGCCCTGTCTATATACTACATATTGTGGAATTCCCTCTAGGAGAAGATATGAACAGCAGAATTCTTCAAGGTGAGACTAGAGAGGATTAGAGAGGTTATGGTTTTAACTGGTTTAACTAGAGTGTCTCTCTGCCTCTGTCTGCAAAAACGAGGGTCACAATTAAATGCAAGGATGGAGGGCTCTAATAGCAAGTCCTTTTGTCTGATACTGACAAAAGCAGGAGCAACACTAAGAGAACTCAATAGTGTGCTATGTGTGTATGTGTATGTGTGTGCACTATTAATTAAAAAAGGTCATTAATTGAAGGAAGTTGGAGCCATAGAAGATGAGTTGAAACAGAAAGACCTGGGGTGAAAATGTTATAAATATTCTACTCACGTATCAATTTCTGAAAAAGTAAATGTCTTTTAAATCAATATTTGATTACTTTTATTTTCAGTTATTAACTTGTGTATTTGTCCACTCTTCCAGCTTAAAACCAATGTCTAGTTGTGATCAGTTTTTACACTTCCCATGCAAGAATCTTTCTAAGTTATATCTACAAAACTGTAATACTCCAATACACTTCCAGTGACTGGTTCTAACAACACTGCATTGACACCTACCTGATCCAGTCTCAGAGAAACTCCCACCTAGGGGACTTTTATGTGCAGAAACTCATCATACCTCTTAGGAGAATACTCTGAGTTCCCGGTGACCCCCTCTTCCACTTTCCCTTTAAAAGAAGGAAAATTAGTCATCCATAATACTGACAGGTATCAAGAAAACAAATGAGTCTAAAAATTTGTTTGCACATCTGAGATTGTGCCATAATGAATGATCATATCCTGATACAACTGTACCAATAAAATAGTGTGAGGAAACAAGGAATATTCAAAATAATATGCATCTCTCAAGACTCAAGATTCATTTACTCCCTTTTCCCCCAGAGAAACATACATTCTTTCTACAAAAATATGCTCATGATTGGTCTGTCCTGAGACACCTGGGGACCCTGATCTCTTGTTAAATAACTGAACTGAGCCAGGCCTGCAGCTGTGCACAGCCCATGGGGATTTGCATGTGCTCAGAGCACAGCCCACTGCCCTGAGGACTTCTTCTTAAGACTGTCCAGTCTGCTGTAGTCAGTTCTGAGAAGGTCACACTATGGAAATGGGGTTCCCCACTCAGCTCCTCATGCTCCTTTTGCTCTGGTTCCCAGGTAAGGAAGCACAGCAATGGTGCCCAATGTGATTAGTCTGAACTGAATTTATCAGGTAATTTGTCTTTCTACATGCTTACTCATTGGCTGTGTTTTGTGATTTTAATTTCAGGTGGCAGATGTGACATCCAAATGACACAAACTCCATCCTCCCTGTCTGCATCTTTGGGAGACACAATCAGCATCATTTGCCAGGCTAGTGAGGACATTTATACTACATTATCATGGTACCAGCAGAAACCAGGGAAAGCTCCTAAGCTCCTGATCTATGGTGCAAACAGCTTGGAAGATGGAGTCCCATCGAGGTTCAGCGGCAGTGGGTCTGGGACGCACTATTCTCTCACAATCAGCAGCCTGGAGGCTGAAGATGTGGGTGCTTATTTCTGTCAGCAAGGTTATGATACTCCTCCCACAGTGGTACGTGTCATGTCATAAACCATTCAGAGAAGCAGAAGTGGGAGGCTGTGCTGCCTCACCTGCTTCTTTGTGTATCTGCATCAGCTGAGAGCTATTGTCAGGCACTGTGAGGCATTGAAGGACACTGGGGAGTGGTTAGTGTAAGCAGCCAAGAAAGCCTCATGAGTCCCAACTGTTAGTCTTTTCATCAGCAGCAGCAGAAAACAATTACACTCTCAATTTCAGTAAATGCTTAGGTTGCAATATTTTGTGCTCTGAGCTGTATATTCAGTTGAGATAATGAAACAAAACAGAAGACAGCACAAATACAGTAAACTAGGATTTGGGATTGATTCTATAGCCATTAACTTGCTTAAACTGGGTTGGGTTAGGTGTTCAGGAAAGTTTAGCAGTGTAAGTGAGGGATTGTCTAGTTGAGTAGAAGTTAGAGTTCATTTACCAAAGAACTTGTGAATTGGGTAAACATGTGCTCCTGATACTTGGTCTTGTAGCATAAGTTTTGGATGCCAAGGCTCCCCTCTGTCTGCAATAGCATGATGGTGATATTGTAGCTCTTACATATATTCTTGCATCTTTCTACAGTTTGCTACTAGATACTGGACTGTACTTTTACAACTCTCAGATCTAATGTGAGGGATCATAAATTTGTATTTCTCTGAGAAAACTACATAGCCCAGAATTCACCAGCACCAGTTATATAACTGTCTTTTTCTTGGAAAGACAAAGTAAGTTAGTGCTCTGCCTTCTGGAAGATTTTAAACCCCAATACATTTGTATATTTAAAAAAAGGTCTTTTTTCCTTTAAATTTCTAGGTATGTCTTACCATTCCTCCTTTTTACATTTGATTTAATGAGGATTCTGAATTTGTTCATTTTTATATTTATTTTACATATCAACCACAGGTCCCTCTCACTCCCACCCTTTTGCTCCCCACACATCTTACCTACCCTAACCTCATCCATTCTTGAGAGATGGTAAGGCCTCACATAGGGAATCATAAAAATCTGTCACATCAGTTTAGGCAGAACCAAGGTCCTCCCCTTTGTGTCTATGCTGAACAAGGTATCCCTACATGGGAAATGGGCTTCAAAAATCCAGCTCATATACTAGAGATAAATATCAATTCCACTGCTAGTGGCTTCATATACTGCCCATGCTCTCCAGTTGTCACCCATATTGAGAGGTCCCTGTTCAGTGTTATGGAGGTTCTCCAACTGTCAGTCTGGAGCCAGTGAGCTCCCATTTGTTTGGGTCAACTGTTTCTGTCAATTTCCCTATTATGGTCTGCTCTTAATATTACGTATTTTCTGCTCCTCTTTATTACCTCAGCTTCGAAAGCCCATTTCCCAGATATTCTTTGTCTTGTCTGTGTCCTTCAACTTTGGGCCCTGATATGAGACTAAGAGTTGAATAATTCAATATACTTATCTAAGTATCTACTTAAAGATGCTAGTAGAAATTAGGACTGGAATATCACCAGAAAAGTACTGTGGAGACCAAAGAACATTAAGATTCCATCCCTAGGCTTCTTGGACATTTCTGAAGACAAGATACCTTATAAGTCTTCACCTAAAAATGGATATCTGAATGAGAACTAAGAAATATCCTATTATAGATACTAACTTTCTTGAAACAATATATTCCTTTATAATTAATTAATTTTGTATTGCTGATTCTAAAATCAAATTAGATATAGTTTAAAATAATCCTAGCACTCAGGAGACAGAGGCAGACATATGCTTGTGAGTTTGAAACCAGCCTGGTCTAAACAGTGAGTTCCAGGACAGCCAGAATTAAACAGAGAAACTCTGTCTTAAAAACAAAAAAAGATGTATAATTTAAGAAATGAAGGTTAATTTTAGTCCATGTTTTCAAATGATTCAGTTCATCATATAATCGAAATACAAAGTATGAAATTCTTAAGACATATGTACTAAACACAGGGACCCTCAACTTAATAAAAATGATATTATTAGATGTAAACGCATAGATTAACCATAATATAATTGCAGCAGATTACTTTAATGCCCTACTTTCACCAGTAACAGATTTTTTGTGAGAAAAATAACCAGAGAAATACTAGAGTTAAATGAAAGCATAAATCAAATTGACCTAACACACAATCAAGGAGAACATTTTGTTATACAGTAATGAATACACTTTCTTCATGGAACATTCTCTAAAAAACTGGTCTCAACAATCATAGCCAAATTAAGTTAACATCATTTATTTTATATAACCACAAAAATAATACTGAATATGAAGAGCAATAGAAAGCATAAGATGCCCATAGTCTCATGAGAACTATGTAACACATTACTGAATTATTATTGAGACAAAGAAGCAATCAAGAAGAAATCATTTTAATTCATATAATTAAATGAAAATAAAATACAGAACCTCTCCAGCAAGCCATGTCTTCCATATCTTTCTTCTTAGATTAATCCAGTGAGTCTCCCTGCCCCCCTCTATCAGACACCCTCCCCAACTAACCAGACACAGCTCCAGTCTCACATTCATTGTCCTACCTTTGTCTGGCCCTACATGTCTGCCTGTGTGGCAAGCAACGTCTAGGATTCTGCCAGGATTTTTCCTGCCTATACTGGAACAATAGGGTCTCCCCATGTGGATTTCCAACATTTTCACCCAGTCACATCTAGCCTCACATTCAAGGACTGCACCAGGAGGAACATTATGTACAGCATCCCAGGACCCTTACTTCTTTCTTCCCAGAAACTCTCAACATCTAGACCCAATCATCCCACACATTTTCTTTTGTCTTCAAAAATCCTTTGTGCATATCAACTTAGAACTAACAAAGTAGTTCACATGCCCAGATCTCATCTCAAAAGTACCAACAATATGGAAGATTAAGCCAGAATCTTCTCTTCAAAACCTACCAGTACAGTAGAAATGTTTGCAAGAGAGAATTAATTAGATGAATTCCAGGAAACAGAACTAAAGAACAATCTTATAATTCGTTGGGAAATTGAAGGAGATTAAAGAAGACACAAAATATATCTCAAAAATGAAAGAGAAAAAGCATCAGATGAACAAGCCCCTGAGTGATGCTCAAGAACACACAACAAAAGACTGGTATAAAAGATTATGGTAATCTAGGACTACATAAAGAATTCACTGAGAGATGCAACCTTGGAAGAAGACTCAAACTGAAATGAAGATGGAATGGAAAATTCAGTATCTCAGCCATAAACCTCAAGAAGAGAATTTTGAGTAGAAGAAATCAATCAGACAAAAAAATCAGATTTTCTACCTTGGTACTCAGTGGTTTTAGGGATGGGACTCAGAAAGGGAATTTTCACACAACTTTCTGTTATAGTCTAATCTATTCATTCCTGCCTCTGTGTCAGTCTGACTGTAGGAGACCCTCCTCCTACCTCAGCCCCTTTTACCATAGACTCCAAATTTTGGTAAGTCCCCAGGGTCTCCTTGCCCTTTCATTCATGTATCTCCAGGTTATGTTATACCTGACTGTTACCTGCTTATCATTGCTTTTCATTCCATCACTACTCCAACAACATGGAGACCCCACCTGTAATTGTGGACGGGATTCCCTTAGCAATTTCCTAAAGCCTCTGTGAGTCTTTTCTCATAGGCCACCTCTATTCCAATCTTTCACCCACTGAGCTGAAGAAGCACTCTCTACAAGGCCACCTACAGTCATGACACGTTCCTAAGATCCCAAAAAGGCCACAGAAATGCTATAATGGAACAGCCACACAAGAATGGGAAGACCAGAGATCAATACAAAGAATTACCTAAATCATCCCAGCACAAAATCGCAAACATGAACAGCGAAGACAAAAGGGCTACTTCACAAAAGTAGAAAATCTAAAGGGAATGGACATTTTCTGGATAGATATCACTTGCCAAAATCAAATCAAGAAGAGATAAGCATTTTAAATAGACCTATTTTAAATTGACTGGAAATAGAAGCAGTCATCAAAAGTCTCCCAATCAAAAAAAAAAATCCCAGGGCCACATGGCCTCAGTGCATAATTCTACCAGATATTCAAAGAACAGCTTATACCAATTCTTCTCAAAGTATTCCATGCAATAGATGCAGAAGAGTCTTTGCCAAACTCTTTCTACCAGGCTACAATAACCTTCATAAACAAGACACACAAAGACACAACTAAGAAAGAGAACTTCAGACCAATATGAACATTGATGCAAAATACTCAATAAAATACTGGCAAATCGGATCCAAGAACACATCAAAACAATCATTCACCATGATCAAGTAGTTTCATCCAAGGGATGCAGGGATGGTTCAACTTACGATAATCCATCAATGTAATCTACCATATAAACAAGCTGAGAAACAAAAATCACATGATCATCTCACTAGATGCTGAAAAAGCCTTTGACAAAATCCAACACCCCTTCATGATAAAGGTCTTGGAGAGATCTGGCATAACAGGAATGTACCTTAACATAATAAAAGATACATATAGCAAACCAACAGCCAACGTCAAACTAAATGAACAGAAACTCAAAGCAATTCTACGAAAATCAGGAACAAGACTAAGTTGTCCACTCTCTCCATATCTCTTCAATATTGTACTTGAAGTTCTAGCTACAGCAATAAGACAACAAAAGGAGATCAAGGGGATACAAATAGGAAAAGAAGTCAAGCTTTCACTATTTGAAGATGATATGATAGTTTACAGAAGTGACCCAAAACACTCTGCAAGGGAACTCCTAGAGCTGATAAACACCTTCAGCAATGTGGCAGGATACAAGTTAAACTCAAAAAAAAATCAGTGGCCCTATTATATACATATGATGAAGTGACTGAGAAAGAAATCAGAGAAACATCACCCTTTACAAAAGCCATAAACAGCATCAAATATCTGGGGATAATGTTAATCAAGGAAGTGAAAGGCCTGTATATCAAGAACTTTGAGTCTTTAAAGAAAGAAATCAAAGAGGATAACAGAAAATGGAATGATCTCCCATGCTCTTGGATTGGTAGGATCAACATAATAAAAATGGCAATCTTGCCAAA